CCTAAGTCCAGAAAGAGGGTAAGTGCCAGAAAGGTGGAGCTCCAGCCTAGGGAATCAATCCCTAGGCCTGATGGGTAGGACAGACTTAGGTGGACCAAAGTCCAAGAGAGGATTGGGCAAGTCTAAGTTGATATTCAAACTAGGGAACTACAGGAGTATCTACAGGGGTTATATACTGAACAATATCTGAGGGGATCAGTAAGCAAAGGAGCAAGGCTATGTACAAGCATGTGGAAACACATTAGTAAGTAAGACAGAACATAAGTAAATGAACTCGGAGATGAGGACTTGTACAAGGATCAATAAGCAAGACGGAAGAAGAAGTAACTGAAAGCCAGAAAGGCAGAGATGCCTAAATGGGGATAGGCGCAGGATATTGGACAGAGGGTGGGAATAGGTCCGGAGCTATTATCCGGAGGTCCGGAGATCTGGGGATCCGGAAGACAAGGTGGATACAGGACCAGAATACAAGAAGGTGGATATAGTTCCGGAATCTGAGATGAGGTGAAGTCTGGATGTCTTGCTGGATGAAGTGTGCATAGGGTGGACAGGATAGGGTTGTATGGATCAGGCTAGCAGTGAGGATCCGATGGTCCGGAGCTCGGGGTAAATCTGGAGCGTAGTCAATCCTGCTGAGGTGTGGAGCACAGCAGAAGGGGATCTTGGAATGAGCTGGATATGATGTGGGGTCCGGATGTAGGCTCGGAAGGCGTGGGAATATGATGGAACGTGGGTCCGGATTGTGGGATATGACAGAATGATGCTGGAGGTGATGAATGAGTTGGACATTATCGCAATCCACTACAAGAAGAGAAGGTGGTTCCTGTAGATAGTTTTCCTGTTTGACTTGAATCAACATGCATGTACATTAGAATACCCTTGGATAGCACCAAATGGAAGTGTTTTGACCAGTTGGAATCCTTGGGTGCGCACCTTGAGTCCTAAGTGTCCGGTATCCATATGTCCCATGTCCATGTCCTATGTTCTGGTCCTACTCCACTGGGTGCCTAAGAGATAAGTAAGGTAAAATGAGCATGCATGCATGCTGCAGAAGAAGTGGAAAGATACACATCACTTGTGGGTTTCCACCTGGCTTATCTTCCTCATTGCGCCATCATCCTCTATCCCTGCTGTGTGGTGGTGCGGTCAAATCCTTGGTACATATCAATGTGCATGGTGCACTGCCTATGTGTTTGAAGGGAATTTGTATAGTAATCATCGAGTGTGCATATAATCTAGTCCTTTGGCAATGTCTGTGTGTGATTAGAGTCTATGCATGGGTAGCACATATCATATGTAAGTTACTGAGTGATTGGAATTGGGAGAGAAGGAAAAATGAGACTGAGGCACCAGATGAAACCTGGGGTAAGACTGAGACTATTGTACAAGGATGGTATGTTTTTGTGTTTTTCTGGTTTTTATGTGGATATAGGGGTGGGTTTTGTGTGTGGAGGTATGACTATGCCTCTGGGTCAAAATTGAGTGCTTCATTGTCCGGTTCTTCTGCATCTTCTTCTGCTAAGTTATCCAATGCTTCATTGTCCAGGCCTGTGATACTAGTAATGGAGATTTTAGTTTCACAGCATGGAAGGTAAGGAATCGAGTGAAAGGCCACATAATGAAGCTTAGACACAGATCCGTCTAGTTCCAACAAGATATATGACCTGCCCTTTGTGCAATGGATAACAATCATAGGTCCAAGATAGCACGGCTTTGTCTTTTGACTTAGCTTGTACTCAACTTTGCTGTTGCACACTAGAACAAAGGTACTGGGCTCAAAATCATAATCTGTAATCGAGTGCTGGAAGTGCTGCTCAAATTGGCAGATGGACTGGTATTGGGTGTTCAGGACTCTTTCTTTGATGGCTTGGAGATCTTCTTGTTGCTTCTGCAATTGGCATGTGTGCCAGGCAACAAGGTCCATGGTTGAGAATGTATCTTGGTCTGGGAGCACTACTAGAAATGTTCCTTCAGCAAGATTGAACAGGAATATAGGCTCTATGCCATGAACCATAAAATAGGGTGTTAGACCTGTCACTTGGTGTACCATGACATGCTCAGCCCATAGGACGGCATGCACGGATTGGTACCAGTGTGATTCATCCCCCTCGCAACTTTTCATGATGGCCTCCCAGACATCATAGTGATGCCATTCAACAATACCATTAGCTTAGGAGTTGTATGGTGAGATGCGAATCAGGTGAATCCCATAGCACACTGCTAAATCATCGACCACTGCCCAGAATGCAGGTCCATTGTCAGTAACAATTTTGGTGATAGGTCCCCACCTGCAAAGGAGCTCCTTGAATATGAATGCACCTAGAGACTTGGTGTTCTCTTTGCATAGCATATGCCATTCTGGGTATCCAGTTAGCATGCACCACACATGGACTAGACAGTTGAATCTGCCCACTTTGGGCATCATCATACTATCTATATGCATCTTCCTGAATATGCCACCCAGGATGGGTACAGTTGGGGGAATGTGCAGTTTGTGCATTTGCATGATCTGGCATTCATGACACGTCCTATTGTACCATTTGACATCGTCAGTAATCATAGGCCACCAGAAACGTAGGAGAAGGTGGGTGCAGGTTGAATATACTCCCTTATGTCCAAGGTCATCGTGCACTTCCTTCAGAATGTGAAGGTGGCATGCTTTGGGGTGTGATATGCCATTCCGGACTCTCAACTCTAAATCCGCTTCTCTGGACATCCAGATCTGAGATCTGGATCTCCAATGATCTGATCTATCTTTATCTTCCTTCTGGAATCCAAACTCTATATCAGCACCCAACCCCATTTAGACTTTCCCTGTCTCCGGACTCCAGTTAACTATGTTTCCCTTCTGATTATTGATCCATTACATACATTTCATTTCCGATATGCATTATTGGTGATCCATTGTCATATCCACATATCTGGATCTCAGATCCAATCCTTATCTCATCTCAGATCCAATCCACATCTTATCTCCGATCCTATCCACATCTTATCTCCCTCCAACATCTCATCATCCAATCTGTCCACTCGTCCAGTCCAGTCCACAATTCATCCAAATCCACAACCAGCACTTGTCTCCTTTTGGTAATCCCCTAACTCTGGTATTTTGGTTATCTGTATATCCACCCTGCTCCCTGATCCATTACCTATGCTTCATTTCCATTTCATTATTTGTGATCCGTTTCTACTTACCAATAGACTATCCATATGCTTCGGACATAGCCTCAGACTCTGCTGATTGATCATTCTGTTAGATACCTATAGTATATAACCTCCTGTAACTCTCTGTAGCACCTCAGTTCAAATATCATCTTAGTTCTGCTCATTCCCATCCTCCAGACCTGAGTACTGCTACTCTCGTCACCCTCTGAGACTTAGGATTGATTCCTATAGTCTGTCATATCCTGTATGCCAGACATAGATCCCATCATATTCCCACACTTTCCGAACCTGTTTCCGGACCCCATATCCAACTCATTCCTGGATCCCCTATCCTGTCCACCCTATGCACATTCCGTCCAGCAAGACATCCAGACTTTACCTCCTCTCAGATTCCGGACTACATCCACCACCTCACATATCTCAGTCCTGTTTCCACCCTGCCTTCTGGATCCCCAGATCTCCGGACCTCCGGATATTAACTGTACTATCTCCAGACCTATTCCCACCCTCCATCCGAGATCCTGCACCTATCCCCATTTAGGCATCTCCCCCTTTCTGGTTCTCGGTTATCTCTGTTTCCATCTTACTGATTGATCCTTGTACTAGTTTCATCTCCAAGTTCATTTACTTATGTTCCATCTTACTTACCAATGTGTTTCCACATGCTCGTACATAGCCTTACTCCTTTGCTTACTGATCCTCTCAGAGAGCCTCTGGTATATAACCCCTGTACAATTCCTGTAGAGTCCTCAGTCTGAATATCATCTTAGATCCTGTTCCCTCACCTTAGACTTGCCCAATCTTCTTCTGGACTTCAGTCCATCTGAGTTTGTCCTTTTCCATAAGGCCTAGGGATGGATTCCCTAGGCCAGGATTCCGGACCTTCGGATTTGTCTCCTATGTCTCTGTCCCAAGTCTAGGGATTGCTTCCCTAGGCTAGAGTCTTGCCTTTCTGGCACTTACCCTCTTTCTGGACTTAGGTCCACTTCCTGTCCCTCCAACTCTACCTTAGGGTAGTCTACCTCTGTTTGCTTCTACATCGGACAAAGTCCGATGTAGCCCCTATTCCTTCTGGACCTCCAGACGTCCTGTCTTCTGTACCTCCGGATGTCCTGTCCCTCATACCTCCAGGCATCCTGTCCTTTGGACATTCCATCCTCCATACCTCCGGACCTCCTGTCCTCCATACTCCAGACCTCCAGACATCCTGTCCTCCTGTCCTCCAGACCTCCTATCCTTCCATCCTATTTTCCTGTAGAAGTATTACCTTGCAGCGGGAACTCTCCTGAGCATTTCCTGCATTCCTCCGGAACTCTCCCACGCTCCTCCGGACATTTCCCACGCTCCTCTGGACTTCATTGGACCATCATCAGACTTCCTCTGAAATGAAGGGCACATACTTGGGTAAGGGGCACAGCATACGAGCTGAGGCCAAGCCCCTCTGAGTCAGTCTCTCTCTCCTTTGAGCATGGTTCTTAACACTTGCCTAGCAAGTTCTTCTGCCATAATTTTCTGTCGAGTATAAAGTACTATCCTGCGCTTTTGACAAATGACTGGTAGTCATCATCAGATAAGTCAGCAGGTCTTTTGTGGGTCTCTAGGAAGCGTTGGATTTCTATCATTCTTGCATCTTGTGCTTTCGTGGCTTCTGAATGGGGGATGGTTGGGTTGGCAGGTTCAGGTTCTGTAGTACCTAGGAATGTGATGAGAGCAGGTGGATGGGTTGGCAGGTTTGGCATGGGTATGGTATATGGGTGGCATATGATATTAACTCCTGCACCTGAAATTGCACAACTATGGTCATTTAGGATTTCAATGCCAAATGAGTATGAGTGGTCAAGCCAATCCTTGTGGTCATCATCCTCTGCAGGATCTAACTCTGTGGGTGGTCTCCTTGAGAGACTGTCTGCTCCAGTATGCTTGGAAGTGGGCATGTGAATGAGTGTAACAGGAAATAACAATATGCCTGCAATCCATTGATTGATGGTTGCATTGGGTTGGAGGTCTGGGTTATTGATCATGCCTTTTATATACTTCACATCAACCTCAACCATTGTCCTACATGATTTGGGAATCATGCAGAACATGTATATGACATATCATCCCACGTTTCCATAGTCTGTTAGCTTAGTCCTCAGACTACACAAAATGTACTTTGAGTATAGACTCAAGTGCAATATTTCACTTTGCATGCTCCAATCATGCAAAAATATGGTGTGTTGAAGAAAAGTCAAATATGATGAAGAAGTCATATATTGACCTAGTCAAAGTTGATAGTCATACAAAAGTTTGGGTTATTGCCTATCATTTGGCTTATTTACTTTGACTAGAAATAACCAAGGAGAAAAGATAAAACCCTATCAAAACCCTATCTAAAAAGCCAGTGTTTTGATTTGTTCTGTCTTATGATTTATTCTACTTTATTTTCTTCATATTTTTCTTTCATTTCTTTACCTACTTGATTCTTTGACCTCCCAGAGACTCCACAAAATGCACCTGCAGGGTATGATGTCATGATGATGTCATATAGCTCCACAGAAATTTCTGGAATATTCTGTTGGATACTATGAAGCCATCTATGATGTCATAGTGATGTCATTGGATGCTAGAATGTTCTACTCCACTTGGCTCCACAATGAGGTCATTTCCCTTTCCAACCTTATTTCTTGGTACTATACAGTTTCTCCCATCTCATGTATTTAAGGAGAGCACTTCTCCACCCATAGAAATAAGAATCTCTTTTATCATTTAAAAGAACCTCCACTTCTTCCACTTTCTCTGACATTGACACTCTTTGTGTTAGCCAGGAAGTGCAGACCAAGTACATACTTGCTCTGAGATCATTTATTCTTTTCTTGACTGTACCTGTGCTGTCTAGTGTGCATCTGACATATAGTTTCAGAGGACTAGAAGTACCAAGTCAAGCCATATTATCTGTGCCTGCAGATTCCTTTGTTGGATCATCTGCTCTTGTATCATATCATCTTCCTTGGATTAAACCCTTTGCATTTAGGCAGGGAAATACAATCAGCTTCTACCTAGTTCCCTTTTATAAGTCCATTAGTATATCAAGGAAGGGGAATATCATTAGCATTATTTGCTACCTAGTTTTGTGCATAGTATGCACCTATTCTTTATTTTCTGTCTAGTCAAGTATAGGACTAGAGAGACTCACCCACAAACTCTATTCTCTATCTAGTCAAACATAGGACTAGAGAGACTTACCTACAAAATCTATTCTATTTGTCTAGTCAAACACAAGACTAGATAAAATTCTATCTACATACTCTACATTATCTGTCTTGCCAGATAAAGCTAGGCTTGTATTGTAGAACCCCTATTTACAACCAGGTAGAATAAAACCACCAGGCTGTATAGCAGGTAACCTCCCACAAATGCTGTGTAATCTACCATGAAAGAAGAAAAGTCGTAGACTGTGAACTTGAGGTTGTTGGCAGCATTCAGTCTTATCAAAAGTGTAATTGTGGTGTCATTGCCTTTTGACCACTTTTATATAAGACACCTCAAGTAAGAAGACACTGTTAGGTTGGTGATGCTGAAGATGAATACGCATACTGCCTGAAGTGTGTGAAATAGGCCATAAAGCTCTAGTTTCGCTTGAGAGTAGCGGCTTTCAACTTCCATGAGTGAAATTGAACTGAAGCGACTGGGATAGCATTTGCTGTTTTCACCCACTTGAAGGAGTATGAACCCTATAGCGATGGAAGAAGTGTCAACTGTGAGGATAACTTCCCATCTGCATTTGTAATCAAGTGGTAGGAGTGTGGGAGACTCTAATATCAAGTCCTTCAGGGTCTGCATAGCTACCTGTTGTTCCTTGTTCCATTCAAATGGTACATCCTTGTACATGAGATTGATGAGTGGGCACGCTTTCTTAGAAAAATCCTTGATGAATATGTGCAAGATGCCACAGGTACCTAGAAAGCCACGCACTTCTGTGACGGTATGGCATTCTGGCCAATCACATATCTTTTGCACTTTGGAGTCTTCCAGTACATGCCCTTCGAAGGTGCACTTGTGCCCTACTATGATAGTGGTAGGTGCAGCTAGGACAAATTTAGTAGCAGATACAGTTACGCCTATGTTCTCCAGGCGCTGGAGTATGCGGTTCACCACTATGCAATCCTCCCATATAAAATGACATATTCCTGGGTTCTCCACTATGGTTTCGTATGAGCTGTCAGCTCTTTGATAGTGCATTTTGACTGATTTGATAGGGAGGTCATTGTCATATCCCATATGCCAGACCTAGATCCCATAATATTCCCACGCCTTCCGGGCCTATTTCCGGACCCCATATCCAACTCATCCCCAGATCCCCTTCCGCTGTGTGCTCCATATCTAAGCAGGATTAGCTCTGCTATGGAATTACCCCTGAGCTCTGGACCTCCGGATCTTCACTACTAGCCTGATCTGTACACCCCTATCCTGTCCATCCTATGCACATTCTGTCCAGCAAGACATCTGGACTTTACCTCCTCTTGGATTCCAGACTACATCCACCACCTCACATATCTCAGTCCTGTTTCTGCCCTGCCTTCCAGATCCCCAGATCTCCAGACCTCTGGATATTAACTGTACTATCTCTGGACCATTCCCACCCTCCATCTGAAATCCTGCACCTATCCCCACTTAGACATCTCCACCTTTCTGGTTCTTGGTTATCTCTGTTCCTGTCTTGCTGATTGATCCTTGTACTAGTTTCATCTCCAAGTTCATTTACTTATGTTCCATCTTACTTACCAATGTGTTTCCACATGCTCGTACATAGCCTTACTCTGTTGCTTACTGATCCTCTCGGATATCCTCTAGTATATAACCCCTGTACAACTCTTGTAGAGTCCTCAGTCTGAATATCATCTCAGATCCTGTTCTATTTGCCCAATCTTCTTCCAGACTTCAGTCCATCTGAGTTTGTCCTTTTCCATAAGGCCTAGGGATGGATTCCCTAGGCTGGAATTCTGGACCTTTGGATTTGTCCCCTATGTCTCTGTCCCAAGTCTAGGGATTGCTTCCCTAGGCTGGAGTCTTGCCTTTCTGGCACTTACCCTCTCTCTGGACTTTGGTCCACTTCCTGTCTCTCTGATGCTACCTAAGGGTAGTCTACCTCTGTTTGCTTCTGCATCGGACAAAGTCCGATGTAGCCCCTATTCCTTCCAGATGTCCTGTCCCTTGTACCTCCAGGCATCCTGTCCTTCAGACATTCCACCCTCTATACCTTTGGACATCCTGTGCTCTGGACCTCCAGATCCTCAGTCCTCCTGTCCTCCATACTCTGGACCTCTGGACCTCCTATCCTTCCATCCTGTTTCCTGTAGAAGTATTACCTTGCAGTGGGAACTCTCCCATGCTCCTCCAGACGTTTCCTGCACTCCTCTAGAAGTCCTCCCACACTCTCTACCAGAATAGCCAGCCTCCGGAAGTCCTTTGGACTTCGACAGACCATCATCAGACTTCATCTGAAATGAAGGACACATACTCAGGTAAGGGGCACAGCGTACGAGCTGAGGCCAAGCCCCTCTGAGTCAGTCTCTCTCTCCCTTGAGCATGGTTCTTAACAGTCATCAATAAATGGGGAGGTATGCTTCGGGGTTTCATCCTGTAGAGCAAAACAGGAGTCACCTTGATATACTTGTACCACATTCACATGCCCTTGTGGGAGCATTGTTAGCTGGTGTGGTCCTAGGGGTGTTCTGAAGGTCGTGAGGTCGTGGGACTCCTCATGTAGCATGTGCTGGTCATACCCAGAATATAAGTCCATCATACTGTATACTGCATATCTGGCAAAAGATTCAGCTAATTGTTCAACAAAAGGAGGGAGTGATGAGTCTCAGATAGTCACCATGTTCAGTGGTTGAAGATCATGTACTAATCGCAGTGATTTACTGTCTTTCTTGACCATGCAAAACCACTGCGAATGGTAGGCTGTGGTTGATGGTTCATACACACTGGACCGGATCTTTTCTTTGATGATGTGGATAACTTCTCCAAGGGTTGCTAGCGGTATAGGGATATTGTGTTGAGACCAGGGAGTGTGTGGGATGGTAGGAATTTTGTAGGGAGGGAAATAGGTTTCATTGAGACATCCGTGCTCAGTCACATCCCATACGAATGCTAATTTGTGTGTCCAGATGAGCCAGCGTATAAGCTTAAGCTCTTCTGGCCATAACCAGTTAGTGGGGTCTAAGTCCAATTTGTCTGCTCTTTCTTGGGTGAAGCAAACACCTGGGATGAAGTCAGGCAGGTGGGTTGGCAATTGGGGCATGCCTGCCAATGGGTTGTCAGGTAATCTTCTTGTAATTCTATATTCAGGCAGCATAGTGGTTTGAACCAGGTGGACCTTCTTTGTGACTGGCTTATAAACCAGTGCATGTCGGGTTTTGTCAAAAGAATATACACTGTTAAATGCATCAACAGATGTACAATCAATGATTGAGTGTGTAGATACAAGATTATTATAGCATGCTGAGAACTGCATGGATGAAAAGGAAAATAAGGCATGTTTGCTCTGTAAGAGCAGGTATTGCATGGTTGGCACAAGATGAAAATTAGAACCAGGAAGTAATATAGTAGGACAAGAAATAAGAGAGCAGTGGGTAGGAATCAGTCCATTTGTCTTCTTGTGTATTGTGCAAACCATCAATTATCAAAAACCCTTACCTGTCCTCCAAAACCCTGACCCTTCTCGACAATTCGCCCTTGCCACTGATGCATCACTTGTTGCCACTGGTGCAGTCCTCCTTCAAACCAACAAGAACAGTGCATATCACCCATGCAACTATCTTTCCCAATCCTTTAACCCCACTGAAAGAAATTATCAGATCTATGATCATGAACTCCTTGCCATTATCTGTGCTTTGAAAGCATGGTGACATTACCTTGAAGGGAACCCTCACCCTGTCATTGTATTCACCAATCACAAGAACCTCCTCTACTTCCACTCGGCACAGAACCTCACTCACCAACAAGCACATTGGCAGTTAACCCTAAATGAATTTGATCTTGAACTCCACCATGTCCCAGGAAGCAAACTTGCCACTCCTGATGCTCTCTCATGCTGCCCTGATCACTCTTCCGATCCCCTGGATAATTCCAATGTCACACTCCTCCCTGACACCATGTTTTCTCATCTTATTGACAATGGCCTTGCCAATGCCCTGAAAGCTGTGGACCCTCTCTCTGACTCTGTCATTCTGGCTGCACAACAAGCCCTTGATGGGTTAAACGCACCCTGTCATATACCATTCCAGACTCTCAACTCTAAATCCACTTCTCCAGATATCTGGATCTGAGATCCAGATCTCCAATGATCTGATCTATCTTTATCTTCCTCCTGGAATCCAAACCCTATATCAGCACCCAACCCCATTTAGACTTCCCCTGTCTCTGGACTCTGGTTAACTATGTTTCCCTTCTGATTATTGATCCATTACATACATTTCATTTCCAGTATTCATTATTGGTGATCCATCCTACTTACTAATAGACTTTGCATATGCTTCATACATAGCCTTTGTGTTTGCTGACTGATTCCTATATGATACCTACAGTATATAAACCTCCTGTAACTCTCAGAAATACTTCAGTTCAAATATCATCTTAGTTCCTGCTCATTCCTGTGTCCTCTGGACTCAAGCCAAGTCTCTTGTCATATTCTGAGTCTTAGGATTGTATCCTAGACTACATCTCCAGCTCTACCTTAGGGTAATCTATCCCCTGTTAGTTTCTAGTCTGGACTTCATCTTGATTAGCCTTATCCACTTGTCCAAGTAACATCTGGACATCTGTTGTCCGCCCTAGTCAAATCCCAGAAACTCCAGACAACTGTTCTAGCCCCCAGAAATTAAGGGCACATACTTGGGAAAAGGGCACAGCATATGAGCTGAGGCCAAGCCCTTGTGATCTGACCCCCTTGAGCATGCAACCTTAACACACCCCCTATGAAATCTGCCCTTTCCAACTGGAAGTTTGATGATGGCACTTTGTTTTATAAGAACCATGCTTATGTCCCCATTCATCTCTGACACCACATTCTGCACCTCCACCATGATCATCCCACTGCTGGCCACCCAGGACACTTTAAAACTGAAGAATTAGTCAAATATGACTATTGGTGGCCCAGAATGGGCACATTTATCCGCAAATACATCAAGGGTTGCACCCTATGTCAGCAAATGAAATCCAACACCCATCCTTTCACACCACCCTTGAACCCTATCCCTTCCTCTGCACTTCGCCCCTTCTCACAGATCTCCATTGATCTGATCACTGACTTGCCTGAATCAGGCAGTTTTGATTCAGTTATGGTCATGGTAGACCATGGCCTTATGAAGGAGGTAATTCTCTCACCATGCAAGAAAACCATTACATCAGAAGGAGTCGCCCAACTCTTTTTCAAGAAAGTTTTTCTCAGATTCAGACTCTATGACAAGATCATCTCCAATAGAGGACCTCAGTTTGCCTCTAAATTTGCCAAAGAACTTGGAAGACTCCTTGACTATGAAGTCACACTCTCCACTGCCTACCACCCACAAACTGATGGACAGACTGAACATCTGAATCAAGAACACAAAACCTACCTTCACATTTATTGCCACTCCACTCCTCTTGAC